ACTCCTCCGCACTGCAGCACATCATAGCCATAAGCCTTGTCTGAACCCTTTCTATTCCAGGTTTTTCATCACGGCTGTGCTGTGTTTACCGCGAAACCTTATATACTCGACCCAAGTGCTGCATCTAGCAAGACGCGGGCAGAGTGGTGTGTGATGTTGGAGTAGACTGCACCGAAACAACGCTATTAATAGCCCGTTCCCATACATCTTCCTGAGCGGGAGTTAGCACGCTGTTGTACTGGGACAATTTCCCGTCCACAGACCGGCAAGCGTTGAAGACACCTGTTCTTGGTAATTGAGGCTTCAGTTGTATTTAACTCCAGCCAGTGAACTTCAGACGTAGCTTAAGCGTTTGTGGCTAGCGAGGCTGTCTTCTTGGTGGTCTTTCTCTCTTTTCGCTTCATTGATTCTTCACTTCCATTTGTTTTATACATCGAGGTGTATTGTGGATGCGCGTTCGGTCTAATTAGTGTTTTGAGGGTTATGAGAAGTTACCTATAAAGGCATTTCCAGCAATTTTTATACTCCAATGAATCTTGGCATCCCATAGCCCAAGGGAACCAGAACAGCCGCATGGAAAACTTCGATTTGGCTTTGCAGCGCGGCGCCATGGTGGGGAAGGGGGGGCGGGGGGAGGACGGAAACGACCCTCAAATTTGACCCAACCGAGCGCTTAGAAGACACCATCTGCGGAAATTACTTATGTATTATGAAAACCTGTGAGAGGGTATACTTTGAACTTACGAGGAGATTCTTGCTTTTTCAATTTGTGACTGAGTCAGACCTTTCCAGAGTCATTATTATGTCTCAAAATTTTTTCTTTGCAGGTCTATCTGGACAGAAAAACTGTATCAGTCCTTTCTCTTACTTTACAAGCGATATCAATGTTGTGTGCTTTATATTTACCAGGTAAGTAATGCTTGAATAAAGTTTAAAGTATCCTAAAAGTAGTGGGTTATAGGGAACGCTCATTCCAAAGAAAGCTAACAACATGCAAGCGCATTACAGGGATTCCTTGTGTGATCTTTTCGCAGAGATTACCGATCATATTAGGTTGACTCATAATTTGTGGACGAGTATATTGAGGACGAGCCTCAGCGCTGGACGAGTATTCAAAGAAGCGAGACGCTACTGTGCGAGCGAAAGACCAGAGAAAAGGGTGTGGAACGAGTTGGAAGATAAGGGAGACGACAAGATCATTTCCGCAGAGATTGAACGCAACGCGCTGGCTCTGTGCTTATAAACGTTGGATCGCCCGCATATCTCGTCCACAGATGCCATATAGCTTACCACCATCAACACGAAAACCTCACCTTGAACATTGTACTACCTTCATTCTTCTGGTTTTGCTGCGCCCCGCATCTCCTCAACTGTCAGTTTCTTGATTTTTACCGTTTCAGGCGCAGACACACAATAAAAATATCCACCCCCCCCCCACAAGATGGCCTCTTATCTATTTTTGTCAACTGATATGATTGCATGCCACTCGTCATCAATGTTCCTTTCACTAGACCTCTTCAACTTGGTAATGTAAAAGATTCACCATCTTGAACGCCGACCACGACCGCAACGTCCCTGATCAGCCCAATCAGCTGTTATCACTTCCTGTCTCCCATTGATGTCCCCATGTTCCCTTCTATGAGTTACTACGTCCAATGCCTAGCTGATGCTGGGAACCACGCACATTGACCTTACATTCTAACGCCCCTTATCGAATCTTATTAGCTGCTAGCGGCTCTTGTTACCCACCACTAATGTTCCTGTCCCATACCCCACATCATACCCTGGAATCAACCCCTAGCTGATGCTGTGCTCCTCGTTATCAATGTGTGAACATCCTCTTCTGACGCCTCTTATCTGTTCTTATCAGCTGCTATCACTGCCAAAAATAATGTTCCCGTCACAGCCCCTACATAGTTTCTTGGAAAGAAAGTCCCACTGCTAGTAGGACGAGCGATATGAAATTGTGATACACACACAGACATGCTCAGCGGACTATGTATAGTAGGATCACGGAATGTAACTTTTTTTAGATTAGACGGAGAGTCCTGCAACACTTTGATTAATTTTCTAGAGAGAGGCCGGAAACATTTTTGATGTTTTCACCCCTGGGTAGTGTCCTCTGATGAGTATATTATGACTCTGTGGAAGCTTTCAAAGCTTAAAAGTCCCTCAAAGGTCAAGGTACTTCTCTACCTACTCCACATTAGTTCCTGTAGGGCCAATCCGCCGTAGTCGAGGAAGCTAACACCTTTGTTGTCTTAAAGAAGGATATCGCTTGCCATGGCAGAAGGTAGCGTTTGCATCGGCGCCCAAGCTGGAGTTGTTTAGTTCGGAGCAAGGCGATATATAGGTCGGGCACCGGCACAGAATGACAGCCGTTTACTCAACCCCTTGGAGGCGCAGCCGAAGTTAAAGGCACGGTCCGCGATAAGGAGTGTAGATGAGTGGGAATATGGAAGAAAATTTGCCACGTGACCCGTGTGCCCATGTGTGAAATGCAAATGCTAAAGAGAACGTTGGAAACGCAACTGTTAGGACTTCTCCAGCTTAGAACTATTGTACGATCAAAGAAGACAGAAATACAGCACGCTGGGACCTAGTCCTGTCGGCTTATTCCTTGTGATGAACTCTATGACTGTACATGAGGCAATCCACTCTATACCACTCGCCCGGTAGCATTACTTTGGCTGGAAAGAGGAATTTGGAGGAGGGGTCTGGGGTCACTGGAAAAAGGCAGGTATCACTGGAGCAACCTTGCCCCTTAATTCCTTCACCGCACAACTTTCCGCCGCGATACTGTCCAGCGCCGATCACGCTACCTTCCCACATAACCTTTTGCATTTTCATAGGCATCGCCGCAGTGAGTTGGTAACGGGGTACAGCATCGTGAGTGAGGTGTTGGTGTAGGTACGACCCCCCTGAGAGAGGATGTCAGTACGACTTCCCCCCCCCCTTCCCCAACACCTATCTATAAATTTCCCCGATTTTTCGGCTTTCTAATCGGAAAAGTTCCCGTCGAGTGGGAGAGGGGTATATAGTGCACATGAAACAGGAAAAATCACGCAAAAAGTCAACAACCGGAAAACCAACGCGACAAATTTCTCTCAAAGGCACATACGACCCCTTCTCCTCTCCCAACGACCAAATCCCCTCCCCAGAAAAAAGTAAGACGCCCCTATGTGTTACACACAACGAAGCTATCTATACCCTGGTTGGTAACCTCTCTAGGCTCCACCTAACTGACAACTGCCATGCTTCTCCGCAATCTCGGTTATCGGGAAAAATTTTTGTGAAGGATGCCTCATGAGTTGGACCAGTCTGACAAGCGCACCGAATGGTCGTGACTGAGTTTTCTTTTCCTTGTACACACTGGAAGAACTTTTGTGAGATCTTGTGGTTGGTAGCGAGTGTGGAGTCCTTGCGTAAACTATGCACACATCCCTCACAGGATCTCTCAAGAAGAAAAGTAGATTGCTCAGCCAAAAAAGAAGAGCATGGAGATTATTAACCTTCTCAGCACTTTTCTATCTTGCACGTCCTCCCTGTGTGAGTGCGGTGTTTTTTACATACTTCGCCGTGGCTCTTTACTTGCAGTTGATAGCGTCGTAGTCAGCCGGGGTAGCTTCAAGAAAGATGGAATGAGCCCATCCGCGGTGTTCCCATCACTAGCTGTTTTCTTCCCAAATCGATCACTATCGGTCACCACCGCTAAAGCTAAGCAGTGGGCCTACTCCTACTGCTTAGCTTTAGCGAACTTGAACTTATTCCGGCTCTTATGGCACAGCCCCGACTGACTGAGATGTTATCAACTATATGCGGGTTTCACTTCACATCTGCGACACTATGCTAACTTCCTATTATGGACTAAACTGTCTCACTTATAAGGTAAAGAGATAAGAAATGGATGGACGCCAACTACTCATGCTAGGGACAATGGCTGGACCAGGGGCAGAAGGAAGTCCCAGCGCTCCCAACGGACGGAGTCCTGGAAGATTATGTTGCGTTGCTGGTGAAATGTCGAGAAAGTGATCCGTAGACAACTGTCGTGGAAAGTGTTCTCCTTGTGTAACAGTGAGCGCCCACAACGTATTGAAAAGTTTGGCAGATGAAGGCGCGATGAAGTGATTGAAATTTGGCCACAAGAGATTAGACTGAAGGATGAAGGTGGTTCGCAGCTGATCAATCTTTTTGTGAGTGCGGCTCGCATTCTACTTCCATTCAGAATCGTAGTGGCTTACTTGAATGCGATGTGGCCTATACAATGACTTGCGGTGGCCAGCCGATGTACAAGTCAGTGTTTTATCCTCCCAGACGAATCTGGTACCAATTTACCGTCCCCGGAGGGTAGAAGGCTTGGTTGGCCTGGGCGGGAGCCAATCCAGTATTTGATCGCCGGACCGTGCACGTGGTGCCACTTGCCACTAGACCACCTCCGTCCCAATAAACAGTATGGAAATGGACCATCAAAAACTTCCCCAAAAATTATGGGCTGACCCAATATAGTGCAAGCTATGAGTGTGGAGCGTTACTGCTCAGTCCCCGCGAGCGCGAAGAAATGGGCGTCGTAAGCGGGATCATGTACGCCGCATTAACACCAGGACTCAATCATCTCAACGTAGCAGTGCTGCGACCCGTCGAGTCTATCGACTCTACCTGCATCCTGCATCCCAAGTCCACTACCTATCTCTGAGCTGTGTATGTCCACTCAAGTACCTAGGAAGTTTGGAAGTGCCCTGCCAAGCGCACGATGCCGCGACTAGGAGTAGTGATCTAGACTCGCATACAGCTGGATGCGGCGGGGCGTATCAGAGGGGTGGAATGGAGCTTCAGCAGCGGGCGCGTCTTACTAACAGTGACATTTCTCGCGGTTATTGGTAGAAAATCGCTGGGCAATCCTCCCTCAGACAAGCCGAAGCATCCAGTTTTATGTGTTGTTGCTCACTTGATATTATTTCCGTACTTAATCCTCAAGAATTTCAGTGAGTCCACAAATCTCTATGGTGTTCCCGCTATTGGCGAAGATATTCAATTCAATCACATGGTGCTCACAGCCACTGCTCTACACCGAATCAACACCAACTGCTGTTCGAAACGTATTCTGCGGTGTGGCTGGCTTCCTCGGCGACTTGGGATCTGTACTTGCTCCATACTTAAAGAGACTTGTGGGTACTTCAGGAGAGCTGCAATCCAACCTTTCTAATGGTATCTTTTTCCAGGAAGCAATCCACAAATCAGCTCCCACCTTACTAATAGCTGTGATGTCGATATCGTCCGCTCTCTTAGTACTTACAATGCCAGAAACAAAAGACAGGAAACTGCCGGAAGACGTTGACGATTTCGAACCCGGGCCTTTACTGCACTGGATGAAAAAGAAAAAGAAAGATACGAGGAAAGAAGAAGAGGTAATGATAACAGACTAGGCATTTGAAAGGGTTATACAAACCTCATCATAACGGACTGTCGGGGCGGCACAGCCGCGCTGCAACGTGACGCGATTGTGGCCGCCCCGACAGTCCGTAATGGGTGCTGGCGGCTGCGGCTCGCTGACGGCGAATCAGCTGATTTCCATGGAATTCGGCTGCGAATTCCCACTTTTTCAACTCTTCGAGCTTCGAAAGTGGAAGGTGAGTTATTTTTTATTTTGAGCAATTTTAAATTGTACTGACTCTGAATGAATCTGAAAGAATGCAAGCCATTTGAATAAATGCCTGAAATAAGGCAAAATACAAGGAAAAGAGCATATAATCGACATAAAAATAAAGGAAATCAGAGCCAGTACAATTCAAAATTGTTCAGAATAACTCACCTTCCACTTTAGAAGCTTGAAGAGCTGAAAAAGTGGGAATTTGCAGCCGAATTCCATCGAAATCAGCTGATTCACCGTCACCGAACCGCAGCCGCTGTCGCGTCACATTGCAGCGCGGCTGTGCCGCCCCGACAGTCCGTAATGATGAGGACTGTACTCCCTCTATATCCAACGAACATCTTCGCGACCACCACCAAGAAACCAGAATTTCTTATAAGACAACTGTTCGTCTTAGCCCTAGGGGAGGTTGTTTTATAGAGGCACGATACGGCCAATTCCGTGTTCGCGCCCACACATTTTATCCGTGAAATTCTGTCCAAACAATGGAATACTGGTAAGGATCTCGGCACATTACAGGAGCCCACAAAATATCACTGACCTATCACCTGGACCAATGCTCCTTCGCCTTTTCAACTGGTAATTTTCATGAATTTTCCAACAATTAACGAAATTCATTAACTTTTCCCATATGCGAGGTGGACAGGTTTATAGCAGTAGAAGTATACCACGTCAACCAGTTGTAAGCGCGGAGATAGAGCTAAAGGGTTGTGATGCGTGGATGTTCTTCATGTGTCCGTCCCGATACTCGAGGCGCAGGTCACTCACAGATGCGCAAAACGCCACACGGCCAGCGTACAACTAACCGTAGCTACACGTTATACTTCTGAGCGCCTTCTACGCGCCGCTGGAGCGCCGTTGCTCTCTTCAGGTCGACCTCAACGGTGAATGCGTCATCACCATGTGGCGTGCGCATCGCCTATTAAATAGTGGATGGAGACAAGAGACACCACCATCACAACCCATCAGCTCATTTCCGCACACTCCGAGTGCCGAATGTGCTGCACTTCTATAGCTACGGACTTCTGTAGAACAAAAATGAACAAAAATGCTAATAGTCTTCGAAGGAGCATTTAAAGGACTACTTGTGCAAATCTGGAATTACTTCAGTGGAATAAGGACCTTGCTTGAACACTGAAGACAAACTGTGCACTCACATCCATCCCAGGATCTTGGCTCTTGCCAGGTGTGAGGTAAATAGGTTCGCAGCTGCAATAGCGTGACACTTTCTCCAGCCACAAGTGATTGGAAATGGGGCTGAAAGGTAATGATACCCGGTGCCCTCTCCGCATCCCGCCTGCGCTGAACCGTAGCCAAACGTGCTGCATATCTGCACTCTCTTATTTCTATTTATTCTCTCCAGATGAGTGTACGCTTTGCTGCGGAATTGGTACTTACTCATGTGCTGCACATTGAGGATAGCGCAGGTGGAGTATGGAGAACGGCAACACTGCCTTCGGCCCCGTCCTCTTGCACTTTTGGCACTCTACTGCGCACCTATTCACCTCCCACGTGAAAAGAACCACCGTCGGTGGGGAGTTCACAGTTCATCTCGAGGGGCATGGGTTTGCGGGACTGCATCGGATAAGTGCACAATCTCATGTACCGTCACTCTATTCGTATGAGGTTAATCCACGTTTTGCACAACGTTCTTTAAGTCCTCTCCTTGAGGTTATTAGCACTCAAAAAGCTCTACTTGTGGCTCTTCAGCAGCCTCACAATCATGCCACCTAATCTATGCGCTACAGCAACAAGTCAGCTTCATAACAGTGTGTTGCTGTGACTATTCGTGATCTGCTTTACATGAATGAAACAGAACTTGTTTCACTCGGCCTGACTACAGCTTCCACGCAGTGTTTTGTGAAACGCTTTTAACGCTGCCCTTTGATGCCTTGAGCTGTGGAACTACCTGAGAAATATATTTTATTAATCCCTGCTTAATCAGCTCTAGAACTTTCACCGAAATTTTGGATTTGCCCTAGTAGCAAAGCCATTCCGACGACAACAATAGGAGCCACCTGCTTGGGTCCAAACGAGAGGCAGATACGTTGTCCCAGAGAGGAGAGTCGGCACGAGTACATGCAGCCGTCGCCGCGAAGGCCCCTTTTCGCCTCTTCGATATGGACGACATCATGCTTACGTCCCCGGTTTGTCTTGTTACGATTAGATGTGCCCACATGAGATGCCCTGTTAGTCCATCACTACAAATCATTGAAGCGAGGTGTACTGGCAAGATGCACGCTACCACGCGCGCACTCCGGGGATCAAATATCGGAACGGCTCCCCTCCCAGGCCAACCAAGCTTTCTTCCCTCTGAGAACGGTAAATTGGTACCAGATTGCCGTGCCGTGCCGCATCCCGAAAAGGACTGCTCAACGGCGAAGACTTTATTCTTTCAAGTCTTTAATGACCGCTACCTCACTCCACTCGTACACTCTTTCTCGCTGAACTATGTGCAACGTCGGTTCTCCCTGAGAAGATACTCGGTCGAGCGTAGCGCAGCTGCAACAACACCCCCCCCTCTCTTACCCAACACCTACCTACCAATTTCCCACATTTTCCAGTTTTTCACCCAAAGAGTTTTCCGTCGAGCGGGAGGGGGCATATAGTACACATGATACACATGAAACAGGAAAAAATCACGCGAAAAGTCAACAACCGGGAAGAATTTTTCAAAATTTTCTCCCAACGCAGCAAATTTCTCTCAAAGGCACATACGACCCCCTCTCCCGAACGACCAAATACGACCCCCTCCCCAGCGGAAAAGTACGACCCCCCTATATGTTTCACGCGACTATGCTGTACCCTGATTCTCAGTCCAACTCGAACGCGCACTATATCTCTGACAGGTACTTACCAATCTGAAAGTTCTGTCGTCATCCGAACACCGCGAAGATATCCAATGATCTCAAGGCATCAAAGTGAAGTGATCGTAATGTTGGTTAACTTCAAAGTCGAACACTAACCACTCTGTGTGAGATGAGCTTTACTCGTTTTCTGGGCGTCGCTGTGTTCGCAAAAACCTTTTTTTCAGAGTTCGCCAATGATCACACTGGATCCCTCGCAGTCAGAACCCATCGCAAGAAAACCATCATTTCAAACGTAACTGTCATCACGGCTACGAGCATTTTCTGTCCATAGTGCCTATGAACATCATTTAATCACTTACATGGATGCCTCAGCAAAACGAACCTCCGCCCACCGCAAAATGCCTCACTTATATTTCTCACCTGTACCATTTATAAATACGTTGTACTTCTTCCAAGTTCACAAGTTATTGGGCAAAAGATATGTACAAGGCATCACTCAGTGACAGGCTGATAAGGCTGTGTTCATACTTTGCGGCAGCGTACGCCAGCGTACTTATGTAGCGTTTAAAACATTCGGCAGCGGTAAGGAGGAAGCGAGAGCAAGGCAAGTATAGGTATCGATCTAGCGTTTGCCAGCGGCGGGGACTAGAGAGTATGGGAGAGTAGGAGAGTAGCGAACGGCTCGATTAGGCGTCGTGAAAGGCGGTGTGTGCAACCGCACCGCATTGGCAGAAAATACCGTGTCCTTAATTGATTAAATTGCATGATTATGTGGTTTGGCTGTTGCAACGGAATGTTTAACATTGTCACACCGGAACCGGAATTGAAGTGAACTATGAGAACGTCCTCTTTTTTCAGGGCTGATCTGTTGGAAATTGTTCCGTTTGGGAATTTTTAGTAATTCTTATGAACGTTCTCTGGACGAATATACGGCCGACACATACATGCTCATCCTTATGAAAGATCCTAAATGATCCCACGTTGTTTTATCCTTTACAATTATGCATTATGCAGTTCAACCATTGCATTATGCAATTTAACCAATTTAGTGTACGGTATTGTCTAGTAGTGCGGTGCGGTTGCACACGCCGCAATTCCACGACGCCTAATCGAGCCGTTCGCTACTCTCCTACTCTCCCATACTCTCTGGTCCCCACCGCTGGCAAACGCTGGTGAAACGCTGGAAAAGATACCTATACTTTCCTTGCTCTCGCTAGGCTAGCGTGCGCTAGCGTTACGCTAGCGCACGCTGGTGACGCTGGCAAACGCTAGATCGATATCCACCTTTCCTTTCACTGCCGCTGCCGAACGTTGGAAACGCTAGCGTACGCTGCCGCAAAGTATGAACGCAGCCTAACGCTAAAACTGCTAGAACTACGTAAAGCTAAAACACTTACACTTTACCTGCCCCACTCTTATGCCAGACATTTCCCGGATTTTTTCGCCGAAAGTGCAGAATTGTAACGAAATTCTGGACCGTGTCAGCTAGGTTGGGTTTGCCATGGGGGCCAGCCACCTCTCTCTCTCAACTGTTGAAGCGGGCAGGCGACAAGAATTGGTGGAAAACGGACTGGCGCCGCGTCAAACCCGGATGCACCAACACTCCCCAGCATACGCAGCAAACTAAACGTTGATTTCGGCTGAAAACCTTCTGCAGAGGTAGTTCGATGCCATGAACATGAACATCACATTCGCTTGTCAAGCAGCCGTCTGGTGCCGGCGCCAAAGGACCTCAGGTAGTAAATTCGCCAAAAAATTGTCGTCGGAGATAGCTTGACCTCCTATACATGACTATCAAATTCACGTGAACGCTCAGGGAAATAAGTATTGCGGGGAGAATTTGAAGGACACTTTTCTACCTGGCTGGCTGCACACTTTATTACAAGATGGTGATCCCCAGCAAAGGGGCCATTATCTCATCTCACCAGGGAGGGTTCGCCTCCCCACCCCAACTGCATGCATGGCA